GATTTATGGCTGAAATAGAATCATGATTTTTCCGCGCAAGATTCCTTTAAGGCTGCCAAGGAGTCTTCTCCAAACAAAAAGGCAAAAACAGCAACCTATCTCTTTCACGGCCTACGTAGAGGTCTCAAGTGCCGGTCGCTCACCACCTACCTCTTCAGGAAGAAAACAATTTGATACTAGACCCAGCTAAGGAACATCTTGATGCTTCTTCTGTTACTAAGGTATCAAGCTACTATAGGGGAATGGTGCTCCTTTCAATAAGACCCAGCTCCTGCATAGGAGGCAAAAAACTATTTAAGAGCGTCCACGTTCGACTCTGGATTAATCTTGGCATCGCGAGAGTCCTTTAATGAGGTTTGTTGAGCCGCAACCAAGATATTATATTATATATCTTTTACTCGGCTAACGTTTCGGCCTTATCGCCTTCGTCAGAGCCTGGACCCCCAAACATCATTTCAAACTTAAGGAAAAGTCCCATGACCAGATGCCCTTAGAAAGGAATCACAAATTACGAACCACTTGCATCCACTCTAGGAAACGACCGAACTTGGTGTCTACCACAGCTTATCTGACTCGAAGGGTGTGGCTTCAAATGATCTGGCCCCTCGGCCTGAAGCCGACGGCAAACGAAGCCCACAAAGGTAAGAAAAAAGGCGCGAGTTCGTTACCATGGCCAGGCATTCGTCTTTCCTATTCATTTTGTGGGGCTTGCGTGCGGGCGCTAGTAAAGTGCCTAGACTGGCAATCAAATGTGGTGATTTACACCCATGAATAGAGAGCATGGAAACGTGGGCATAACACTAGTTGAAACCGCCAGCCTCGCTTCATGACCTGCAAAACTTGCATCCCTCTCGGACTTGAGCTCTGGATGGTAAGGCCCATAGCAGGGTCTTTTGCCACTGCACCAGGGTACACTCGATCATGCCATTGGAAGGGATGTTGATGAAAGGTATGCAATGGATGCTGTCTGCAAACCTTAAACCTACGAACGAACCTACGCATATGCAAGTGTAACTCCGTTTGGAATCCATTACCAAGTTACCACGAGCTCATGATACGTGTAAATTAGCAGTTGAGGCCACTTTACTACCGTCCCAGGTGTGAGTGATTCCCGTAACACAATACTAACCTCTACCTCGAACCCTGCGCTTCCATAGGATTGCGTGCGGTGAGCTCCCAGGAAGGTTTCAGGCCTTGCTCGACTCAAACTATCTAGGTGTTCCTTGACTATAGCGCACAGGGGCCGCCCTGTCTCCCCGATGCACTCATCCCCGCATTACTTGCATGAGATCAGGTGAATTACACCTGACGTCATGCAGTCACGCTCCCGCCCATTAGGGAAGAAAACGCACTGGGGAGGGAGGCTGAGGCTGGCAAGATCATACCAGCGATTTTGAACCAGCTGTTGCTTGAGGTTTGCCGGAGGGATATCAACCAAACGTACCATGTCATCTAGACCACCTCTGCAGTGCTGCCCACATAACTGCGCTCATGGCATCGTTTATGAAGGGTATACAGAACGGCACTTTTTCCATACCATCGATTGCAGAGCCGTGTTGTTTTCTAATGGGTGGTCCGGGAGAAGATTGATCTGCGGAAGGGTGGCCGTTTGATTGCAGTCTTCTTCGCAAGTTCCAAGGAGTCTGCTTCCTCGTCTTCCCGAGGAGGTCAAGATAGCCGTCCCGTAATGTTCTTCGTTATAGAACGCTTTGTTCTGAGAGGATGCGCCAACCCAAAGTGCACCAAAATGTTCTTGTTCTTTTTCTGGGTTTCCGGTGCTGCCTGTCCGGTAGAAACAGGGTCAACCGTCCGTTCGAACTGTTCGAACGAAGAGGTCGCATTTTGGTCGGAAGGGGGTCGCATTTTCGAGGACTGTCAGCCACAGGCGCGTGCGTTGCGCATCCGAGGGCAAGAATTGCTTGTTCAGACCGCATTAGATTCGATTAATTATGCACAGGGAGACAGTTTTAGGCAAATTACGGTGTTTTCCTTGACGAATAGAGAACAGTTGAATGCATCCCTATGAAAGGATTGACTTCACGGGGCCTAAATTAAAGTTCTTCGGGACCTGATTTTCTAAGCACGATTCTTCCAGACAACGGTAAAACACATGAGAAAGCAAGAATCTCGTAGTTTGAAAAAATGTCTTCGCCCTCCCCAACAAGTTCTTTGAAGGAAGTTATTATTGCTGAAAGCTCAAAAACTCGCATGTGCTGCTCAAAAAACTATGGGAACAAAATGTTCGAACGTGTGATTTTCTCGAAAAATACATTTTGAAAAAAAGGTTCGGTGCTTGTTAGAAAGAGCAAATCGTGTACTTTCATCACATGAAAAAAGTGCATCACAGAAATGAAAATGAAGTGAGTTATGGTCGCTGAAAGCCCAAAAACTCGCTTTCGCACGAAAAATGTTCGAACGGGACAATTTTTTGAAAAAGGGGACGATCACTAAACTTTTTATACTATTTTGTTAGAAAAATATTTGAAGTTTCTGGAACTTTTTACAGATTTCCAAAATGTCGCATACGAAAGATTTTATGGGCCTTCAAAGTTGAAGGTGCGCCCTCTCAGAATTTTGGGTTTTCCACTTCTAAGAGAAGTACTTTCCGGAGAGTTAGGCAATTCCTGTGATTTTCTGAAAGCACACCTCAGGCACAATCAAAATCTACCTCAACAAGTCAAAAAAAATAGGTCCCAAGAAAGTTATTCCCCTCTAAAATTTCCCGTTGCCGCGTCCCGTTCTTCCAGCGCCCGGGTGATACCTGCCGCGCTCCAAGACTGACGCCGCAACGCAGACGCTTTCTGGCGCTACGGATTCATGTCTGGCATTCTTATTAACAAAAACAGGGAGTCGCAACTGGACCCCCTCGAGAGCTAGGAGGTCGCAAAAATCCCGAAAATGTTCGAACATGACGGTTGACCTTGGGTAGAACCCTCTTCCGAGATGTACTTGTACATTGAGATACGGAAGCCAATTTTCTTTAGACTTTTCACGTGTGAACTGGAGTTCTCTGTTTGTCTATTGAGCAGGTCGTAACACGTGTTCACTTCTTTCTCCGTTGTACAGATACAAAGCAGTCGTCTGTGTATCGGCAACATACGGCTGGAAGGCGGTCAAGCAGCGGCTTTTCTATCTTCGACATGTAGGCTTTGGCCAGCACTAGTGCCAACCGCTGTCCCATGGCCAGTCCCCTGATCTGCCTGTAGTAAGGACCGGACCACATGAAAGAGGAGCATTCGAGGCAGTCTTTGACAAGCGTCATGATCTATGTGATGGAAAGGCCATAGCTCTTATTCGTGGTCCGTGATTATTGTGAAATTCCAAGGTGGCCTGTATATCATCCCTGTTCGATACGTTGGTGTAGAGGGATGTGACATCAGACGACTCCATGACGTGGCTGCGTCTGAACGTGGCCTCCTACAAGCGGTCGAGGAACATGTTGGTGTTAGAGAGGTGTGTGGGGATATACTGTAGCAGTTGTACTAGGACAAGGTTTAGAAGCCATGAAATCCTGTCGGTGGGCCCCCTACACTGCTTATTATTTGCCGTACCGGATAGTTTTCATGTTTGTTCGATGAAATGGTGACTGGGAGAGCTTATGTGTCTTGATGAGGGTTAGTAAACAGGGCAGATAGAGTGGTCACACGTCAGGCGTGTGCCTACCGTTTTAGATAGTTGCGAGGACCGCACTGTGTCGACCCACACCTTATTGAGCCGTCGATATTGCCGATTGATTCCTCCACGGAAGACGGCTTGTAAATGGTCTCATCCTGAAGGTGTAGATCTGTAATAGCACGTTCCAGTTTTTTAGGCAGTTCCACAAACTCCCCTCCCTTATCGCTGACAGATATTTTGATACGATTGCTGTCAGTGAGACTGAGCTCCCTAAGTCCCTGTTTTTGCGCAGTGGTGAGATTTGATGCAGGCCGCCTTAAAATGTCGCGACTAAGTATGGCAAAGATTGGTCGCAAAAAGGCGGAACTTGTCGTCCACAGCAGCATTTGTTTCCTGAGGTTTGAAAAGCAGAGACGGGAAAGAGATAACCGAATACTCTAGCCACCCCCTGCGAGTCAGAATAGAGGTGGTCGACTCCAAGTTCGATCTTTTCAAAAGGTGCGTCCAAGTGTTTCGTGATTCCTGATGCTTTTCTGAAGACATCGGGTCTATGGGACTTTTTTTGAAGTTTGAAATGATCCTTGGGGTAAATTGCACTTATCTTTGACTTTCCAGGCTCCCACGAAGGCGACAAGGCCGAAACGTTGGCGACTAAAAGTCAGATAATATCCTGGTTGCGGCTCAACAAACCTCACTAAAGTATTCAGGAGTGGTTTTCAAGCTACTCCTTCCAATTTCACATCCTTAAACGAATTGCTCTTTTATTTCTTGACTACAACGTGCTGAATTATCCTGCATTTGTGGACCGTATTAGGGTAGAGAGCCTGCTCTAAACATGGCATTCACATGAATGAGCCGAGGCCATTACACTGCAAGGTTTCGAAGAGAAAAACCTAGAATGCCATGCGGGCCACAGTAGTGTTGCGTTCGAAAAAATTGGGAGCCATAATCACAGCAATAGGGGTCGTGTCTGATGTCATTCCTTTGAATATGTAAATGTATGTCTAAAAATGTGTATAATCTCTTGAAAATACATACGCTTTGAGAGAAGTTACACTCGAAACAAAGTGATGCAACATTTTTGGGAGATCCTGTGTGGCTAAGAACATGAATAAGGGCTTTTCTACAGCTTAATACCTGATGGTTTAGACGTTCAGGGCTATCCCTCTAGCCCTCAGATTCAGATGGTGCATTGGGAAAAGTCGTTAGTGGGCAAATAACAATATATAAATAAATTTTAAGGGTTACAAATTTTCGGCCCTGTCACTAGTAATCGCGAATAGTTAGGAAACAGAATAAAGAATGATTACCTTGATATTAATCTCATTTGATTCTTCCAGAAACTCCAGCTCTTCTAGATGTGAAAATCGCCTCTCAAACACACATCGATGTAGCTGTTGATCAAAAGCCGACATTTCCGCATGTGATCGAGAAATCTGCCTTGAGATGGAAACGATTCATGACAAAACACGGGATCATTTTCAAAAAATAAAAAGGACAAAATGTGGAAAAGACACGGAACAAAGGGTAAGTGTGACTGCGTATGATGAATTTTCGCTTTTTCCTCTTCCTGTTCATTTCTGCGAATGAAGTACGATTTTCATATGTTAAGGTGCGAAATAGTTTGTGCCACTTCTTCGCACAAACAGCACGGTACTTGAAGTAGTCTGAAACAGTCATGCTCGCTTCACCTACTTTCTTCGAGTTAAAAATGAGAAAAAGCGAGCCATGTTTCTCACGCTTCGAATTCTAAACTTCACTGAGCCATAAACCGTTCAAAATCTGGGGAACATTTGATAAAGAAATCCTCATGAGTTGACCAGTAATCACAAGCGTGCAAGCGACTTCACTCCATATCTTTTATCCTGCTCCCTGCTTACGTGGTGACTGGCAACGCGGCTACTGTTACTAATAAAAAAAAGTTCTGTGTTAATCAAATGCAAAAGCATCAGTGCTTGAATCGATAAAAAGAAACTGAAAAACTACCAAATCGAGCAGAAAGTTTTGGTCCAAATATGGCACGCTGTTCGCCAATCAGCTATTAGAAAGTTCTGCTTTGCTTCGAGCTTATAACAAGCCAGGTCACGCATAACTACGGCCAAAGGTGGCAAAAAACGACCGTCTAATGCGCCCAACATTCATCAAAGTATGTCCGCTCCAGGACAACCTGGACCACATTTACCGATAATGACGCGACTTTGAACCTTACAAGGGAGGTCGTTCAGGGCAAGCCGCGCTTTTTCAAAACGGTTTTTTGCATATTATAGGAACTCATGCGTGGACTACAGAACTACGTTTTCGCTGAACGACTCCGAGAAGGCCAAAAAATGGAGTGGAAATGGTCCGAGGATCAGTCCTCCGTGATGACAAAATTTTTGCATTGTGGTTGGAGCTTCCGTAGTTTCTCAAAATGGCACCAGTGCAAAAATTAGGTATCATATCCATTATCAAATCCACCAGTGATCGTTTAACTCAGATTTTAACTGGAATATGGCGGAAAAAAGTTGTAACACTAGAAGGGCGCCAAATGGTGCCGAAGTGGCATAAATTGGAGTCGTCTGGAAAAATTAATGTCATATTCGTGATCAGAGCATTAGATATTCCCGAAGTTTTAGAAATAATTGGAATCGAGCCATTTCCGAAAAATCGGCCATTGTCGGTCAATAGTCCATGAGGTACTTCCAGCCAGCGATTGGAAAATGAGTTTCTTCGTGATACTCCTCCTATAATAAGAAATTCCGCTACAGAATGGATAGTGGCAAGCAGCTAAGCTGATCCTGGGAAGCAGCACCCGCATGAGTCGAAGTCGACGGACTCTTCTCTCCTTCAAGAATGATATGCTGAGTCCTCGGCTCCTCCTCTCGTAGGACTTTATCGCCATGGCTGGAGCGATTTCAAGGACAGGCACGTGGTGAGAGATGTGCTCTATAAGATCGAGCTTTGGATTCCATAAATCATCAAGGGGATCCACTTGTTTTCCGAGCAGCGCTCGTCTTCAAGTCGCCCGCTGGCGTGCATGACGACCTGTGGCCCATGATCACTTCTTTTTTCGAAGTTAGGTCAAAGTTTCAATTTTTGTCGAAATTCTGCCTAAAGGGGTAGTCGGGATGCTGATCAAAGATCACTTTCGTTTTTGGAGCCAGCTTGGTGTTACAGATTTATTCTGCCAGTTTGTAGATAGTAAACCCATTTGCAAGGCCTGTTCATGGTTCTGATTGTGAATATAGGGTTAAGTTTGACGTTGTAGCAATTTGGCTCTCATTTGGAAGTGACAATTGAAAATGCAAAAGTTCCGCCGTGGAGCGGAGTCGGACCACAAAGCCTCGTCCTTCAAGTCCATCTCGCTATCAACTCGACCACCAGACCACTGAGAAAGAACGGATGCCGACGATGCTTATGAAAGCGCTCCACATTTTCCAGTACTACCGCTGACAGTACTTCGATTTTTGGCGAATTCCACTTTGCTTTTGATACCATCTTTCTCAGCACCCTTTAATGTGCAGGTGGTCTATTATACAAGTCCGAAACGTCACTCCAAAGCTGTAAAAACCGCCTGTTCTCAAAAAAATTTTTCGACCCTTTTTTGGCCATCAGGGAACCGTTCAGCGAAGACTAAACATGGTTTTGTAGTCCATATATGGGTTCCTACTACATGCACAAAAGCATTTTGAGCAAGCGCGGCTTGCCCTGAAAGACCTCCCTTGTTAGGGAGGCGTCAGGAGGCCCTTGCATGGAGAGAAGGCAGAAACGCGGACGGCTTAGCGGACATGTCACAGCGCGTGCTGAACGTTGTTAGTCGTACTACAGCGCATCCTTGACGCCTACGCGCTGCGACTCGCCCGCTGACTCGTCTACGTCTTTGCTTACTCCGCGCGAAAGTCCTGTCGGGTACCCTGAACCTTACTTGAGAACTTCTAACAGATCCAGAAGAATCAGCCTCTTTCCAAAGGCCGTCTATTCTTCTTGTTAAACAATCAATTTTGTGGAAGAAAAAAGCGATTCAGATAAGAAAATCGAAATCGACTCTGCTGCTGTTTTCAGCATGAAACCGTCGACCTTGAGAAACCACGGCATCGACCGTTCGGTATGCTGTTGTTAACAAGTGACTCGGTCCATATTTCGATTATGGATACGCTTTCTGTTGAATCAATGTTTCTTCAAAAGACTGCTTGAAAGTAGTACAAAGTTTTGGGACACCCTAATAAATACACGGCAAATTCTCACCATGAGACTCCATTGCTTTCTACCCGAAGTAGGTAGTGGATATCAACATCCTTGATTACGGAGACCAGGGAGACCTTTATGGGACCGAGTTCGACAAGAGGATAATGGAAATGTTCGCACTCGACAAGCCTCTGAATTCTGAAAAGAAAAAGATATGTGGAGAAGACACAGATTTCCGGGACACTAGGATATGATTGCCAACTCAATCAGTCGTTCTTTTCTTGCCTACTCACGTTGACTTTGCTATATGTAGCCATGATAGCGTGTTCATGTGAAGAATGGGAGTTCTTGCTTACATTGCCAGTTTTTCTTCAGCTCTTTTAAACAGCATAAATAGGAAGGATACTATCCAATAGAGCTTCTAGTTTCTATCTATCTATTGAAATCAACACAGTTGTTACCACAATTTCGAAGTGATTAACCAACAAATTTGTTATACGTTCAGGTGCACACTCTACACTACATCGGGTGCTTCATAGATTTCTTCTTGAAAAATGTGTCTTCCCTCCAATAGTAACCTAACTGTTGTGAAGCACAGACCACGTTCCGCGCGCTACGGTACACAGCCCGATGTTGACTAGGCGCGATCTCTTTGAGATCCTTTTTTCATGACTGAAATATTCAGCGCTGTCTACAGCTTCTACACATACGTGGAGACACCTCTAACTGTTCTTCAGGGATACTATCCTGAGGCGGAACTGCAACGGACTACGAAGGAGTCTACGTGGGTGAGAGCGAAAAAGGAAGAATGACAGCGAGCGAAAAAGTGAACTTGACGCAAAAGTTGTTATGAAAATGTGATTCGGTGTGCTAAACAAAGGGCGGGAGTGTTGTAGCGGAAAGTGGCGGGGTCGGTAGTTGGTATCAAGCTTGTCTAGGAGGACAATAAGGCCTAGTACATCGGCGCAAGTCATTGCGTGTGCCGAATCGCATTCAATTTGCCATCAATAATCTGAATGGAAGTAATGCGTGGCGCATCCCAATACACGATTGTCCGAACTCATTGTTTTTTACGCTCCTGAAGAAACACACATAAAATCAGGTAACAACTTAATTAAGTGTGGTTTCAGAACACAAAAAATCATCATCTGGTACGTCGACACAGCGCGCGTGTGAACTTTTGTTCGAGAGCGCGGCCCCTCATCTCACATCATTAAATTTTGATTGATGACCACGCAAAACGTGAGAAAACCAGTAATATTGAATGTGTAGAAGTTAATCGGGGATACAGTGGTGGTGCTCCGCCGAAGAGAATGTGTAGTAGAAAAAGGACGTCTCATTTTAATCTCTCCTTAATAATGGACGTCAAAGATATTCTTGACGTAGTTGTGCCAAGAAAGACACATATTTCGCTGCCCCCTGCTACAGAAGCACATTTTACCATACAGCGAACCATGAAATTTCCAGCTATGTATGTAATGATGATCCATAGAATAAATACGAACATTCAGGGCAGAAGTCGCGCGATCGCGAGAAAAAGGGATCACTTAAGTGGGATGCGCGATCGCGTCACTGTGTTCAACAAAGAGTGCAAAGTGTGACGCGCAGCCGCATCACGCCGTCGTCAATATGAGGACCGGAGCTGAAGTAATGTTCACCTCCATTGATTCCTCCAGAACCGCGGGCTTTTCGGAGGCACCGCGGATGGGTGATCACTCAGATGTACGGAGCAGTTCATTACATCATCTTTGCTATCTGGAAATATGGTTCATCAGGATCAAGATGAAACTTCAAGCACTACCGTTCAGAGAAATCAATATCACGCGTAACGAATATATGAAATTATTTTGATTAATTCAATGAAGTTTGCAATTTTGATGATTAAAATTAATTTCTATTGTTATATATTATGTGGGGTAGAACAAAGAGTAGTCTAGTTTCCGTTTCGCACATGCGCTTAGACGGAAACTAGACAAATAGTGTGTCCTCCCTTAGTGCTCATCAGTAAGGGGAAGGAGGAGTAAGGATTAGAGTGCGTATTATAATAATTTTATTAACTAATTTACGTTTTTCAAATGTAGACGAATTTCTTTTATCATTCTTTAACTCACCTTTTTTGTCTGTATAAGTATATGTTATCATTAGGTAGGTATATATACGAGCTAGGAATGCCAGTATTCATATGTATACATACATATACATACACATATATATACATATAGTGATACGGAATTATATGTATTAATATAAGTAGGGTAGAAGTGACCTACTCCGACGAAGTGTCGTTCTATACGTAAGCTTTCTAAACGTAAGTAACCATAAAAATGATTCTAACTTGTTATGACCAGTCATTGATATCTGTTAGTATTATCATAGCTTCATTTATTATTAACATCATTCTTATTTGTTTATTTCATTTTATTGTATCTCTCCTCGTGGGCGGTCTATCTAAGGTAAGTGAGTATTTAGCTAATCGAAATGACTTTATGCATTGAATTGTTAATCATTTAGGTATACCTATTTATTGTAAAGGAAGATGGACGACTTTTCCCATTATCGTCGCGCTAGGGTGAGTGCATTATTGTTTCATTTGAATATTGTTGTAAGTTCATCCTAATATAAGTTAAACTTATATTTAATGAATAGATTTTTAGTTATACATTTAATAAGACAAATAAAAATTGTGTTTATGTTGTAACCTGAGTCTTTCAATTGTTTACTACTATATATAATTCTTTCAATAAAATCTTTTAGTAGTCACGTGCAATTCTTAATATTTCTGAATATATTGTGTTGAGTTTTATTTTTAAAGATAAATTAGTTGTAAAATGAGGAAAACGTTTAATCGGAAAATTGAAATTATCTGTTTTATTGTACATCTTTGTAGAAATTTTATTTGGTTCGATAATTATTTCTAGATCTAGGTAGTTACATTTGTATTCATTTTGATGTGTGACTTCTAATTTGAGAATATTATTGTATAATATGTTAAGTTGATTTAATATAGTGTGTGTATCTGTATTATGTATTATTAAAATATCATTCATGTATCTGAATGGTCTTAATTCTAAAGTACTATCGTCACCACCTCTTAACGAATATAGGTATTCATAATAGGATAGTGTAAGGTCTGCAAGTAAGGGGCTAACATTACTACCTTGTGGGACTCCTATTTTTTGAATGAAAACATGTTCCGAGAATACAATAACTGTTATTCAATAAATGTTCTATAAGGTAAATTACGCCTTCTATGGTATAGTATCTGTAATGTTCATCGGTAGTAATGAGTGTAGAAGGTCTTATTATTATTATTAGCTATATATTTTTTATTACTATTTCTGTAACAAATTTTGAGTATTTCTTCGATATTTTGTAATATGTTGAAGTGTAGTAGATTATTAATCATATTAGTGAAATCAGCTGAAAAAAAAGTTTCATATTGTTTATTTGTAAGTTTTTGAGCTGTTCGCTAGTATTAATGTTATTGATAGCCCAATAACCTATAAAAGAAGTATTCCTACTTTTAATTGTATCATTATATTATATTTTATAAATTGATCTTTTATGAAAGAGAGGATCTTGGTTAACTCCATAGAAAGTGGTTTGAGGCTACTATTTTTAGCTCCAGTTATGTATCTAAATTTAATGGGAGACTTATGCATTTATGGTACCTGATAAATATTAAAGGTATAGTTGAAATAATATTATTTTTATATGTATGTTTTCGTTGATTTGGTGATGCTTATCTATTATATTATCGTAATTTGAATTTAAGTGTAAATAGGAATTAGTTGTCCTATCGATTGTTGTAGTACCGTCTTCTTTATATTTGATTCCCATTTCTTTCATAATATTTATAATATAAAACTTTTTACATATACTTCCATAATTATAACAAGCTTTATCTAATGGGCAGAAAATGGACGTCTTTTTATATTTGTTACAATCTTCTATAAAGTTATTATTATAAATATCTATATCTATATCATTATTAAGCCAATTGCCGAAAAGTTTAGGTTTGAGGGCTCTATATAAGTTAGTTTTGATGTTCTCATGTATTATATTTAATAAATTATCCGTTAGTTTATATCTTTTTTTAATAATTTCTTTATAGGTGGATGTAGTTGATTCTATCCAATTCTTAACAGAATGTTTATTCATTCTTACTGGTAATCTGTATTTACATCCTTTATCTAATAACTTTCTTATTTGTTTGTTTTGAATAACTTTAGTGCTTCCTGTTACTATATGTTTATGATGTTGATCTACATAATCTTTATATTTACTGCTTCACAAACACATTTTCTAATGAGTATTCTAAATACTTCATTATCAATAAATTTTCCAAGGTTTTGTTATAATTAAATAAAAGTAATGAAGTTGGATTTTCATATTTGTATGTTATCCTGAATGGTGTGAATTTAACTGTAGAGTTATTTTCTATGATTTGAGTAATATCATATCTTTTTATATCTATTTGAAGCCTGAATTTGTGGAAATTACGGAAGCAAGGATTATGCACTTCTAGACTCCTATAACTGATTACCTTTCATAAAGAGAGAAAGCGTCGGGTGTAGACCATACACTACAAGTGACGACGGCCTTCACCGAATATAAATGTTCTTTGCCAATAAAGTGATTAACTTGTGGCAGTTGTATTCGGTCAGTTGTCCCTAATGACAACTAGCATTAACCAAAAATCAATCAGCCATCACTACGAACCACCACTAATCAGATTTCCTCGGAAGCCGTCGTCACTTGTGGAGCATGGTCTGCACCCGGCACTTTGAGCGAAAGGGTGTAACATTTTAAGACGGTTAATTGAATGTGCACTCGCAAGACACCATCATATCAGTAAAGGAGCCCTTAGCAGAAAATCCTTGCATTATTTCTAACCATGAATATATCACTTGTGATCACTGGGAACAGCACACAAAGTTTCACGAACAAATGTTCAGCTTCCGAAGAGAAACAAACATGCAAAAACTACACTATGGAATATCGAATGCAAAAGGCTAGGAGCCAAAGGCGGAGCATGGAAAGAAGTCCGTCTTGGGGTGCTAACATATTAGAAGACGCAATGAAATAATCGGACTGAAACGTGCGATTTTGGACAGCAGAGACAAATCGATCGATAGGATAGGATAGGGTGCAGTAGAAGTGTAAGTTGTTAATGCAATAAGTCAAAAGGCCAAAAAGAGTTTCCAGTGAAGGCACTACAAGAGCCAGGTGGAAGCACTCCCCCGCCAGCATTTATGAAAGATGTGCGACGAGATTGAGCGTGTAGCAGCCCTTTTGATTTCTCTGATTTTTGCCAAATTAAGTGCAAGTTTTGTTTATTTCCATTCTTATCGTAGATGATGAGTCTTACCAGTGACATATGGCCGAAATGGAATCATGGTTTTCCGTGAAGGACTCCTGTAAGAGAATTGTGCAAGGGAACATTACGATTTTTTCTCCCCATTGGTCAGCTTGAGGGCAGTTCCTCATGATGAAAACAAAACAACGGAAAAATAGTGTTTGCTTTGGTAAAAGCTGCGAAAATAAGAGCAGTACTACTTGTTCCCATTCCCTCTGTTTATCAGTCACAAGTTTTCAAAACAGATGATTTTCAGTTCAAGGTCATCAGATTCCCACACAATGACACGAATATCTCCACAAACAATAAAGGCTCCGTCATATACACTGAAACACTTAGAATAGCTAACACTTGTTCCGTTTTTGACACATTCACTGATAAACTAACAGAGTTTATAAGAGTGTTATTAGGAAATGTTACCATTAGAACTTTATTATAACTAATGTATTAGGTCGGTCCACAATTTTTGAGAACCTCTGGTGTTTTTCGATTTGTTACTTATCTTATTTCTCTGATCTACTTATCCAGCATAGTATACATCATTATTATTACCAACATGTCACCAGTGCGAGGGTGGGTATTCAGTGCCTCTATCACGGACATTCACAGAGTTCTGATCGAAGGAAAATTGTAGTCCCGAATCGGTTCTCAACCCAATCTGACATCATCAAGTTCCTATTGAATTCCCATGATTCCTTCGGATGACCATCTATAGTACATTGGTGATGTGGACTAGGTGCAGTGTGCTAGCAAATCCACGAGCCGCAGTAGATTTGCTCAAACGATCGGGAGTTCTGACAGTAAAAACCCAACTTCCTTCTGAATTCGACCAATCTTCCTGATCGTGGCCGTAATACGGCGGGCCTTTGGCGCTGAACGACCGCATCAACTAAAATACAGTGTCAAGTGTGGAAAACATCGTTGAAGCTCGATGTCAACGCCTCAAACTTGCCAGCAAAGGAAGACAAAATATCTATTGTTTGTCTGGAGCTCGTTCGAGCCCGCTGCAAAAGAAAATTTCCTAAAAAAATTGAAGACTCTCGGCTGCAGTTCGTTTGCTCCGGCCTTGACACTAATCCCTGCGTCCAAACGAAACGACTACCCGCTCTCCCTCTCTCATTCACCTCTCAAGAAGAAATCTCCCCTTAAATCACCATGGAGTCAAATCGACATCCAAATATTCTTCGATCAGAACCTATTAAATTCATCAAGAGAAACTGATACCCAACCCCTCGCATTGGCTTATTTGTTGGTAATAAGTGAGTAATACAATGCTGAATAAGTAACTTTAAGAAATAAAGAGAATAATTGAATCGAAAAACACCAAAGGTTCCACAAATTAGGTCACTCTAATATTTAGTGCTTTTATAATCTACCAT